TTCCCTCAGTTATTTTGTGCTGTGTTGCAATGTTATTCAGAGGGTTAGTACATTTCTTAGAACAAACCACAATTACTGGAAAAGACAGATAATAACTATGTATCTCGGTATTTACTTCATTACTGGATGACTGAGAACCAGCATAGAATTTCATTTGCCTTTTAAAAGTATTTACACTTCTTAAATAAGGCATTTATTTTTGTGCCTTTAATCCTGACCTTTTCTGTTCTTTCTACTTTGGTTCCTTGAGAACAATGTATAGGAGAATGGCGATTGTTCTTCACAGAGCTTGTTCTTTGGGGTTTTCCCCTGTCTGTCTGCAGGATGCAAAATTCCTCACCATTCTGTAATGCAAAATCTTGTTACTGAGGCTTGATAAATCATTGTGACATGTAGTTGGACAGTTAAGATGTCATGTCAAGTGTCACTCTTTTCAAGTGAACCTTTAAATATATCAAAGCCATTCTTCAGTTTTTCAGACCCCAGCTTCACACATTAATGCAGTACATCTTTCATGACAGAAAAGATCAGACAGATTTGCATAGAATCATTTTCTGCTTTCATTTTATATAAATATGAATAACAATTTTTGCATTAAAAAAAGTATAGTGACAGGAGAAGCAACATGTCAGCCTTCTTCACACCTAATTCTGTCCTCAGATCAATACATGTCTATGCAGTTTTTTTATTTTATTCCTAGATCCTTAAGTCAGGCAGAAATGTCATTGAAGCCAGTGTGTCGCTGACATCTTTTCATGAAAATCCTTTCTTTAGGATTTTTTCCTCCTGAGAAGCTGAGAGGCCTCAGCAACAAAATGTAAACATTGATTATCTGCTGCTGTGGAATGCAACAGGTGCATCTGTGATTGGCCCATCTTGGATGTTTATGATTAATGGCCAATCACAGCCCAGCTAGCTCGGCTCTCTGTCCGAGACATAAACCTTTGTTATTCTTTCCTTTCTATTCTTAGCTAGCCTTCTGAGGAAACCTTTTCTTCTATTCTTTTAGTATAATTTTAATGTAATATATATCATAAAATAATAAATCACACCTTCTGAAACATGAAGTCAAATCCTTTTCTCTTCCCTCATCTGAAAACCCCTGTGAACACTGTTACACCAGTGGGAGTTTTACTCTACATAATGTAATATTTGAGAAGGAACATTATGCTTGTGGATCAGAAAGGCTAATTTTGTAGGTATCAGGCTTGTCATGCAGGCAGGTAATGTCTGGCAGTTCTTTTTACGCTGGGTGTTGGTGTAGGAGCTATTGCATCTCTTCCAACCTTTAATTTTGTGTAAAACTATGTGTCATTATTCATCCACACTGTCTATCCATAAAAAAAGAACAAGAAAAAGAAAAAAAAAAATAATACCTTCTAGGATGGAAGGCAAAAACTTTACTTCAGACTTTGTATCTCTTGGACTCGGTGAATGACTTGTCTGGTAAGAACTACTCCTCTGTGAAAACTGTGATATTGACTACTGTTTTTTAAGACCCTTGTTCAATTTTTAAGATTTATTTTTCTGAGTTGCCAACCATTTACATCTGGAGCATCCATATGAACACTGGGTTTGAGGTATCTCCAGTCAAATACTCAGGTTTTATAAAGTTTTAGAAAATATTGATCATAGTATCCAAAGCATATCTTATAGTCCATAGGTCTTTTTAAGTTCAATTTTGAGGACCGAAGAATAAGAAACTGAAGAATAAAAGTAATGTTAGGCTTTCATGTGCGGGCTTGAATAATCTCTGTAAGTAATAGAAACAGCATTACCCCACTGGGGCTGCCTTCAGATGAGAAATGACACGTAATGATATTTTAAAGGAATGCTATATAGGTTAATTATTGAATGGTATCTATGCGGCTTCTAAAACAGCAGATTTACATTCTGAAGCAATTAAAAGGCCACCACAGGAGCTCACTGCTGCTTCTCAGTCCTGTTGGACCAGAACTGATTCCAAGATTGGACTTTGCTGTAAGAAGCTAGAAAAATTTAAGATAAAACAAGGGAAAGAAATGCTGACTCACTTTTCTTCAATTAAGACTTCACAAGAGAAGTTTATTTTTAGTCTTAGCAAATAACCTGGTGTTTTGATCTTCTGCAAGTATTTATACTTCTTAATTTTAATAGAGAGTTTATGTTTCTTTATATTAATAACTCCCCTCAAGGCTGATATAAGCTAAGCATGTAAATCCCCAGAGAACTAGTGGAAAAAGGCAACTCCATTCACTTAAATGTAAAAATAAACCATTTGGCATGCAGAGAAGAATCTCATAAATTATTATTTTTTTTTCTTTCTCTGTCATCTAGTACCTTCTTGGCCAGATTGAAAGCACATACAGTTTCCTGTTTGCATTTTTTTTTTTTTGCTTTGAAGTGATGGTGAATAGATTCATTACATTAGAACAAAAAAAATCTGCTAATCTTTTGCTTGTCTTCTATTTCAATGGATGATCTAAAAGGCTGAAATTATTTGTTGCAGTGCTGTCTACAGTTTGTTGCAAGGGAAGTAACCTTAATCAGATTTTGAAGATATGTTTTCCTTCCAGCAAAATCTCCAGGTCACAGCTTTTCCAATTACACAGAGAAGAAGGCAAGGAGACAAAGCTAGTCTGGGGAGCTTTCTCTTTCAGCAGCAAAGTTTGCATCTCTTTTAATGTAGTTAAAACGTTTGACAGGAGAGAGTAGGGTTTAGTGATGTGAGGTGATTTCCAAATGAGTGTTAGCTTTTTGCTGACCTACTTTTGACTAGTGGTGTATTCTTGCCCATTACTTTTTGTCATTGAATAATGCTGATATATTAAGCTGTGTGCTTCAAGGGCATTGTAAAATTGCATGTAGGGGCAGGACTGAACTGTGAAAGTGCGAATTACTCTATCAGATCAAACCCAATTAAAAAGTGACAAGCACAGCAGGAGAAATTGAAAGCAAGGTTTATCTTTCATGTAACGTAAGAAGTCACTATATCGGTTAGAAACAAAGTGAGTGTGAAACAGATTCTCCACCTCTTCTCATCCCTCTCCAAAATTTAATAATATCTGCTGATATTATATTTATTATCCAAAAGAATAAGCCCCTGAGTTGTAACATCTCACGTTGAAGGACACTGTGACAATGGCAAGAGAAGGGGAAGTACAGCACCTGAACACCTTGAAGCTATTTGCTATCAAAGTGTGCACCGGGCCTCAGGTCAGCACATTTTGGGGATTGATGGATAGGGAGTTTGCAAGAAGTGCTGGCCGTTTTTATAAAGCTGTAGTCTGTCATTAAAGAAAGACTTGCCAGCTTGCAGGCTCTCCACAGTTCTACAGGAAGTGTAGGAATAAAAGCATGGTAAGGAAACTGTGAGCTTTTACTAAGCGCTGTAGTTACAGACCTGCTACTAGCTAGGGAAAGTTATTTAGTCTCCAGTGCCACTGCAGAAATCCTTATAAACCCTTTTGCATAACATTCATCAGCACTTTTCTAATGAGTGATTGGGCCTGTGAATGTATAAACTAATGCAGTTGTCTATGTACAATAAAATATTGCAGAATCCTGCTTCCAGACTGCTGGGGCTGTGGTGGGTTTGGCTTTTTTGATTGTTTCAGGTTTTTTTGTTGTTTGGTTGGTTTGCTTGTTTGCTAATCTAATAAACTCATATATCAAACAAAACAAACAACAAACAAGTAAATCAACCTTGCAACATGTGTTCTATACCTGCCGTTGCATTGCAGACAGCTTCAGTGATGTGTGACTCTGTGTGACCTGGCGCGCACCACCTTCTGCAGACAGTCGGTGTTACACTGACCCTGATGCTTGCTGCTAATGGTATTATCTCAGTGAGCTCCTCTGTGTGTAAACTTTAGCACAGCTGATTTGGCTAATGCTGAGTTTTCAGATCAGGATTTGGTGGGGGACATTCGACTTTATGAGGGGAAAAAACCCAACAAACACAGAAAGGGAAAGCACTTGTGTGTAACCTGTGCTTGGAGCCATCGTACTGTAAGGAAGGTGGGGGAGATGAGTGTGTAAACTCACAGGGTACCCAACCCTTTTAGCATGTTTTCCCCATAAAAACAGTGATGCTCTGTAGGATGCCTCTTCACATAAAATATATATTTGATGTACAATGAATTAAGACTTTAAAAGAGACCAAGTGATTTACAGTCTTATGAGACTTGGACTTCGCAAGCAGCTTATAGGGAGGAGGGAAGAAAAGTTGTCATATTGTGGAAATAGTGATTATCTAAAAGCCTCCATTTTCCTGGAAGAGGTTTACTTTCTACCATTGATGGAGTACCAATGGTCATTCAAAAGAACAGCTTTGTTGTTGTGTGTTATAGTTAAGTAGTCTTTTGGAGTGTCTTCTGGGCGAAGAAATTGTAGGGGCTAAGAGAATGTCTAGGTCTGAGCTTTCAAAAATAAACAGACACACACACAACTATCTCCCCAGACACCAACCACAAAATACTCCAACCTAAATTTCCTAACAATCTTGAGTGGTATTTCTTTTCATTCGATAGTGTTTTGGTTTTATCAGAAAAGTTTGATACAAGATTGATAACAATTTAAAGGACTGTTCTGCATGGACTGATGTATTTGTAAGGCTGGCTTACTTCTCCTGAAGGTAAAGAGGAGTAATGGATAATATTTCTGGTTTTGTGGGGATGATTTTTTTTAGCTGTCATTGTTGCCTTTATTTGTTTTTTATTTTGTCAACAGGAAGCTTCTGCATACTGTGTGTTTGTTAGTCTCAACATTTTTCTGGCTCAGCCAAGAGGTTAATGCATTTTTTATTGATCTATTATTATAATAGAGATACAATAGACTTTCAAGAAAAAAGGGAGAAGACACCCACACTGCAATTTGAATGTGAAAAAGATTAATGAAATTCTTATTCCTGACTGACATGTGTAAAATATGTGGGTAAGAGATGAGTTGGTTTAAAAAAAGAAAACCCCCTCAGAACTGTAAAGTTATATCATTACCTAACTTTGGCCTTTATTTTCCAGTGACCAGTGTAAAAGAAAATGCTGAGAAGTACATGGGGATTCTGGAGGATAAACTACATAGGTAAGGATGGTATCATGAAAACCTTTGAAATCTTAAAAATGCTTGTACATGCAGCATTGATATGCATAAAAGTGTTAGGAACTTGCATTAGAATAATACTAAAAATACTTCAAATTAGGAAATACTGTTTGTGTTAAGAGCTCTGTTCATGGCTGCATTCAGCAGCCTGGCAGTGGGTGCAGGTAAAAGAAAGAATCACTGTGTTCTCCAGTGCAAAGGGCTACTCTGGAGCAGCAGTGGTCCAACCTCAAGTATTGGGGATGACAGCTGGGTGAAAAATCGCCCTTCTGCTCCTATGCAAAAACCAACACTGAGCAGGGCCAAAAGAATCCCTTAGCAGAGTTCTGGACATCTTTAGCAAATAATGACAGTCAATATAACAGTTTTGAAAAAATGCCAGTTTGGGGTATTGGAGAGAGCAAATACAAACCAGGACAACAATAGAGATATTTTAAGAACTGAATCCTTATGCAGAATTTACATCTTTTTATGCCTTTTTTTTAAAAAAACAAACACTAACGTTTCTATTTCCTTCTTTTGCTGTGTGAAGAGGGTTCTAGGTGACCCCTCTGACTTTAGGATTCTCCTTGAAATATGGTTAGCAAATATTACAGTGCTGTTGTAATGGAATCTTCTAGTGAGTGAACTTTGCCCTGAATGAGTATATTTGTATTTTAAAAGGCTTTCATGGGTTGTAATTGGAGTTTGTGTCATAATAAAATGTAATCCACCAACTAAGCACTACTTCCATTTCCATTACTAAGCAGGTATAATTAATAAATTGTTGCCCGTGCTATTTTTTGTTCTATTGATAAGGATAAGGTTTTATATATTTTGCTCACTCATGCTTTTGAATATAGAAATATTTTACTCAACTCGTAAATTTAAAAGATATTCCGATCTGAATGAAAAAATGATGGAAACAGACCTGAAGATCAAGGTTTGTTTCTGTGTGCTGCTTAGCCCTCTCTTAATAACATTTTTACTCCATATACCTCAGCCCATAAGTTTAAGACAAGTCTTAAGGACTTTTTATGTTGTCTTTTTGAAAACCATACTCTTTATTAAAAAATGAAGTATAGCAACAAGCTTTGATGTTTCTAGAGTGTATGGATTTAATTGACGTATTAGGCTCCCAGAAGGATTTAAATTTCTCTTTAAGTGTTAAATACTTAGAGAAGCTGTATGTTTGTTCCTCCTTCCAGAGGTTTATCAGATAGAATTTGCAGGTCCCAGATGGTGAAGATTCAGTCCTGAACTTGTTTTCCAAGATGTGCAAATGGTATTAGTCTAAAAATAGTTCAAGTAATTAAGAGCTAAGAATTTGAATACTGATTGAAAGAGAAAATCTTTCATGTTTTTATGAGAAAGAAGTTTCCAAGATACTGTGTCTTGAAAAATATTTTATTTTTATACTATTTTAATTTTAGGTGATTATAGATATTTGGTTTTTTTATAGGTTCTTTTTAGTTTCTTTAAGTAGTTAGCTACACCTGCTTTACAGCTTGAGCAATAAAATAGAAAAGCAAGCAAGAGCCCAAGAGGCTTCCCCGAACCCTGCCCTTGCTTAGAGCAGTAACTTGAGAGAGTTTCTCTTTTTTGGTCTTCATATAAATGCTCAGATTACTCATTTGTATATATCATAAGCTAAAGAAAGAGTCTCTAAGGAAAGTTTAAAGAGTAAGTTTTAAGATTACATTTTAGACAGAGATAGAATTTGCATCTGGCTCATGGATGCACTTTTGGGGAGGCTCTTGAAACCAAAAGAGGATCAAGTCTGGGTAGCATGAATTCAAATAAACCTCCAAAGCTTTTCTCCAGATGAAACCTATAATTCTGCTAGGTAGTGTTTCGAATTGAAACAGCCTAGATTGAGATCACTTCAATTTAAGATACAGCTTCAAAGTAAAGCAGAACTCTTAGAAATGTCATTTTTGACCACTTTGTAACAGAAGGAAAAGAAAGCTAATGAAGAAATCTCTTGACAAAACAGCTTTAATGAAGATTCAAGTTTCAAAAAATCAATTTTGTCAGTTAATTTCCCTCCCCCCCTTCCCTTTTCTCTTTTATTTTCTTAAGAAAAGTTTGGAATATATTCCTCTTGTCCGTTTGTTTTTGGTTTTTTTTTTTAATGGAGAGAGGGGAGGGTAACCTAGCTCACATGCTGGAGTACTTTTTGGGGAGGCGGGGGTTTTGGGTTTTTTTGTTTGTTAGTTGGTTGGTTTTTAAAACAAATGCAGTACTTTTCACTGCGACCTAAAAGATGCATCCATTGTCAGGGAGCTTAATAGAATATGTTTCATTAGGAATGCTACTCTTTTGATAGCCTTGTGTCTAAAGAAAAAAATGGGAAAACATGCATTGACAAAAAATGGAAATATGTTCAGCAGCTGATAGCTTCACCCCAAGGAAGGCAAAGCACCCACTAACTATACAGATTACTTGACACTCTTTTTTCCTGATTTAAAATATAGGTTATTTTCTGACAGCAGACTGACAGTCATTGAAGACAGTATCCTCCAATAAAAGAATGAACAAATAGCATGTTTAATAAGCTGCTGTCTGTCTCTTTCCTAGTCACCAACATACATCAAGCCATTCTCCAAGTTTATACATTAAATAACTGGCTGCCCTCTTGAGAGTGTAAATACCATTGCTTACCTTTTATTAGGAAACAGGAGATGTGCAAAAGTGGTGAGAGTTAGAATAATAAAAGTGAGTTCAGCAGAGACCTCTGTCTGTGTGAATATCTGATGTACAAGAAGTTTTGTGTTGGTAACTTCAGCTCATCACTTGAGCCATTTAGGAGGGATGGTACAGGAGAAGTTTACAGTAATTGCTCTAGCTCATTGAAATTCAGATGAGCATCTTCTCATGGGACCCTTGTTCTGCCACAGAAAGTGGGAGTTTTTTTCATTTCACTTATTTCTACACCAAGTGAAGGCTTTGATAGCACTTTATATCATTACCATGAATAAAGTGGACTTCAGCCATCCAACTCTTTCAAAAACCACCAAGTTCTGCCATAAGTGAGCTTTAGTCATGTAAATGGGTGAGGGTCACAAACTGATCCTAGTCAAGAGTGCTGTAAATGCCATTAAAGATTTCATCTTGAGCTTAGTGCCTGTGTGTCATGTTACAGAAACTCTGATGCCTGCTGTAGGGAAACTGCTGTGCTAAGGCTACTGAGTAAGTCTTTCCAAAAGGTTTTCCCTCTTGTCTGTGGAACAGCACAGGCATGCTTGGGAGTGCCGGATGGTCTGTGGTAATTTTGTGTAACCTATGGCCCCCCTCAGTTGTGCTGAGGGCTGTTCAGCTGCTGGTAGTATCTCAGCAGTGCACAGATAGGACTGAAATGTCATCTTTGCCTGCCTGCCCCCAGGAGTGTGTGTTTTCTACCGTGCTTCCAAGAGACTTCACAGCCCCATCCCTTGCTGGATAACGATCTGATCTTATTTTGCTTACCAACAGTTCTGCTGCTGGAGTGTTAAAATGCAGGTTAGACAAAATATTAGATCCTTCTAGTGACTAATTTAGTTCCTTTCTTCTTCCCAGCTGGTCTAAGTCATACACAGCTGTGAGAACATTAGCTCCAAAATTCTGAGAAGCAGACACTTTATATGTGGTGATGCATTCCTTTGTATCTCTTGGCCCACATGGTGATGACTTCTAAATCCCTTATCATAGCTGCCTCAGGCTGGAAACAATTTTTTATACCAGCTGATGTAAAGATGACATTTCTTGAGCTGAGGGAATTTAATGTGATTGTACTGTTCTCCAGACCTCAAAAGATTATGCTGTGACTTCCATTCATCACAAAACCAGGGCTTTTAAGGGGCTTTTCCTAATTCCCAGATAGGAATCATGAAATTATTTTTGGGGAATAATATTATTCAAGAATAACTGATGACAATTACACAAAGGTGTTTTATTGAGCTATTTTCTGTACTATCCTGCAAGAAAGGGAAAATGGATAAATATAACAAAATGCAATACTGCAGTGACTGTCCTTTGCCATTGTTGAATGATACAGCAGCAGGTAAACTGGCAAATGTATGCGAAACCTTTCTTCTTTAACTGACTCTCTTCTGCTGTTTGTCTTGGGTTCATTTTCTGTTCAACAATGTTTGTTTTCATATTAATGGTGCCTTAATTTTTACTCATTGGATACATGGTAGGGAAAATGTCATGGTCTTAGTCTGATGCAACTTGTGCTCCTCTGCATGGCTCCTTGTTCACTGAGCTGTTAAGATAGTTGGTGTGATAAAGGCACCTTGCATTTATTGAAGCAGCAGAAATCAAGCCCAAGGTCTGTTTTACCTGATCTCATGTGTGGTTTTTCTTTTAGAAGTTTCAATCAAATGTCACTTGCCTAATTCAGAACAAATGTGGCTGCAGCCTGGTTGCTCAGACTGCTAAGGGCATGCACATTTTCTCTATCAGAAACAAGGTTTCTCATGCAGGCAGTGCTTTTAATGCATTTGAGGATGTCATCTTCACTGAGATCTTGCCCCTTCAGGCGAGACATAAGATATTCTGAGGGTCCCATTCCATAAGAGGACAGGTCAGGATTAAATGCCACCACATCACCTTCCAGTTTACATGAAAACGAACAGTCTTAGAGGTTACTGTCTTTCCTTATTATTCACTGTTAGCTTACATACCACATGCCTCACGTCTCCTTTATAAAATACTAAGTTTCAGAAATGGTTTTGGGAGCAGAGCTGGGTATGAATGCTCTGAATAGCACAGCACACTAAAAGGACAGTGTTTCACACTGCTGATGGTCTTAAAGGTAGTCTCACATCAAAAGGACTGTGTATCCTTGCAGATTTGTAGCTCTTTCTCTGTTGTACCTGTATACATGGAATATTTTGTGGTTTAATTTAACATTGATTATATAGGCGTAGTGTTCCCCAGTGTGTTGTTTGCTTATGACTTCAGGCTGTTGTTTATGAGAGGTCCTTTTCTTCATGAAAAAATGCCCTTGGATGGCAGTG